ACTGATATAGTACAGCTCTCCGTTTATTTAGTAATCGTATATGTGAATCATCTGAAGTCTGAAGTTCATTTATATAGGGGAGATGTGACGGGAAACAATGATGTTTTATTTGCCATAATACACACAGGACTTTTACTGCTCTTTCATTTGATTTTTGATAATAAATAAATTATATGTAATAAAAATTTATAAGCAGATACTAAGAACTGACATTGTCTATTTGCTAGTATCACCAACTGAAGATTTTTAGACAGTATCATTGTTCCCGTTCCAGAACAACTTATTAGTACTGCATCACCAACGAAGGAAATGTCCGCAGCGTTTGAAAGCGCACATTCCACCAAAGTAGTAAAATTATGCCCAGGAAGATATGATGTAGACTACGATGCCAAAGGAAGTGTCTCATCTTATAAATTTACTAATATAATTCGTGATTTCCATTTTAAAAAGTATATTATAAAATGGGGCGAGATAATTTTTATGTTATTGATTTCAACTACGAAATCTTGCCAGAGCATGCACATCTCGTGCATGAGGAAGAAATCATAATATTTTACAAGTTTTCTTACCTGTGGCTACTTTAATGTATTTACTCTGCAGAGCTAAAGCCAAATAATTTGTCTCTCATCAATTTGGCCTGGGTTAAGAGCTAAGATCCAGCAGTTGCAAATATTAGATGCAGACAATACAAAGAAGATCTAACTTTCAAGTACCAATGGATGTCTGAAGTAAGGAAAATGGTATTCTATCTTCCTTCATTTTTTAATGAATGACAGTGACATTATTAATCCATTCCCTCTTTTATTTCTATTAAAACAAACACTAATTCATTAATAATAATCACATCTATTTTTCTTTCCACACAAGAAGTCTTTTTTCTCTTCAAAATTTGGTGAATTTAGGTATTGTTACTCATTTACATAATTTTTTGTTTTTGTCATGCAACTGGCATCTACTGCAATGCAAGAAAACTAATAAAAAGTAAAGTAAAGCCATCCCACTATGCGCCATGTAGGCGCTTGGGGGGAGAGAAGGTATAGCTCCTACTCATTCTTGACATCATCACTAGATGGAAGTGAGTGGTCAGCATCACGCCCCGGCCGTGCTTTACCCCCTGTAAATGACCCAGGTACCCACTGGATAGGAGGCTGGGTAATAATTAAATAAAGTCACTTCACCAAACTCTTTCAGAAACTAAAAAAGGAATGTGCAAAGATCTGTAGCAGCAGTTGAAGTCAATCATGCAACAAGAATATTCTTTCAGAGTGTGCCTTACAGTAGTAACTGATTACAGCTTCCCATGTTCAAACTTACAAATTTAGTATTATTTTTCCTTAACATGTAAAGTAATTTAACTTACAATTTGTGTTTCATTGTGTAAAACCTCATAAGAACTCACTGGTGTATTTCTGAACATAAAATCTTGTAATACTTAAAATGATAACATTACAAAACCATTTAGAACTGTGAGAAATATAAAGATAAGCTTTCAATGCAAAATGCAGTAAAGTATTTTAAAAGTACTGTTTTGTTGAAACAGTTCACTTTTTATATCGTAAAATATGATTTCATAAGTTATGTGGTATGGACTGCAGTCTTGTGGGCTGTAACACCTTGCTGGTAACCTCATACAAGATTTGAGACTTTCGCAGCAGTACAATCAAAAAAATCTTCTTGGGCAATCAGCCGCGTCAACTGTTTACCGTAGTAAACAAACGTTTCGGGGACCAACTCTGTCCCCATCATCAGGGTTCTGATGTGTGAACATTTTCTCCCCGTAAAGGTTGATGATATAGGGTTTGAGACTTTCGTGGTGAGTACAATGAATAAAAATCTTCTCGGGCAATCAGCCACGTCAACTGGTTTACTACGGTAACCGGATGACATGGCTGATTGCCCGAAAAGATTTTATTGAACCACATACAAGACTACAGTGTTACATCCCAAAAGATGACAATTCACATTTTTTCACTCCCATGAAAATCTCAAGAAGTATTGATATGAAAAAAAGAGTAATATACAGCAGACACAACATAACTCTGAGCCTGGATGATTGTTACAAATACACATGTGGGACGGAGAGGAAGACTGCAAAGCATAACCCTGTTCCTTACTATCAGATATGAAATTATTATGTTTAAGCTGTCAAAATAGGGTATATGGGCAAAGGCCCATACCTAAATTTCTTGTGTTCTGTAGTTCCTCTGGTTCACAAAATCCAGTGTATGAAAATGCCACTCACTCCATCAAAATTAAAAGGGCAAAAACGTTTTCAGTTATAGACTATTT